AAAATGATATATTTTTTATCGTAATTTATTAAAGAGAAGTTGAGAAATATTAATTAAAAGTCATATCAAAATTCGTGTCCTACATTGCTGATCATTTCCCGATTCCAAACTTTTGTCCAGTGAGTGTACATGCACATGTAATTCCAATATGAGACTACATGTGATCTTGTGTCATGTGGATTATAAGGTAAACCAATCAAATGGTAAGTTATAAGTTGAGTATGCATGCTGTCGTTATCGTTATCACCAAAAAAATTTTCCGTACTCAATAAGAATGCGATCGATCTGTTGACAAGAAAATATCGATATGAGAGACAAGTGCCAAAATGAGATTATTTTTACGTTACATACCCTAACGCTAATACATGTAAATAGACATGTACAATAGTATCGCCCGATTTACGTGTGTAACAAATTTTTTAAAAATACTCAAGTTTTCTCCCTTTTTTTTTTTACCTTTTGCCACTTCGTCAACACTATAATTTCGTTAGGTTAAAAAATGGTGTCTACCTATACGCAGCTTAACGAAATTGAAAAGGGAAAGATTTTGGCGTACATGGACACCACAAATGCCGCTCAAATCGCGAAAATACTCGGACGCGACTAAACAAATATAAATGAACCAGAAAAGTGAAAACTTACCACGTTCAGGCACGAAAAGGATTTACTTATACGTGAAGCTAGCGAAAAATGACATGCATCACTACGCGAAATAGTCAACATTTGTAGTTTATCAACCGTTGCAAATGTATTGCACAACTCCGGACTTAACTCACGTATCGCAGCAAAGAAACCTTATATCTCGGAAACACATACATATGCTCATATTAAATGATGTGAAGAAAATAAAAATAAATCAGCTTATGATTGGTCAAAAATAATTTTCTCTAATGAAACCAATGTGGAAATTGGAAAGCGGTCACGGCAGCCAAGAGTTTGGCCGCATTCTGGATAAAAGTTTAACGTTAATTGTTTGGTGCCTACATTTAAAAATAGACGAAAATCTGGAATGGTTTGGGGATATTTCACAGAAGGACCATTAATTTTTTGTGATGAATATAAAAAAATGGTGAAAAATTAACTGCAAATACTTACCTCAAAATCTTAAAAACTCAATTACCTCTATTCCAGAACGCAATTAGGGAATTAACCGGAAGTTACGCAATCTTTCAACATGACAATGCGCTGATACATACTGCGGTAAAAATCAAGGGAAAATAAAATCGTGATTATTAATTGGCCAGCGAATTCCCAGACCTCCAATAGAGAACATTTGAAAGATATTAAAGGACAATATTCAAAAGAAATGAGACTTTCCGACGACTATGGACGAACTTAAGATTGCACTGAAGTTGGAGTGGGAAAAATTTGATGTGGCCATTTTAGAACGGGTTACTGCATCAATGCCACGAAGAATTAATGCAGCATTGGAGTCAAATCGAGGAATTAAATATTAAATAAATTTTATTTTTTATTTGGTGTGTATAAATTGACGAAAATCAAATAAATTTTGCATTGGGCGATACCGATACTTTCTGTGGGTATTGTTAAGATATCGATATACAATTACGATAATAACGATAATAACGATAAGTCTATCGCTATCAATCATTTCCGATTCCAAACTATTGTCTACGGCACTAACGCGATCGTTTCTATTTAAAATGATACAAATCTATACCTGGCTATTATATTTTGGAGCATATGACTGAATTTTAGCGAAAACCCTGTTTTCAAACGAGAACAATACTTTAATGAATGTTATCGTTATCTATCAGCAACTTTATAAGTTGACAGTCTAATGAGAATGAAGATAACCACAGTTTAACTAGTCAATTTTTTGAATGCTGGTCCTTTTGTTTCTGGATATAGAAAAATCTAATCGAGAAAACTTCCTTAGACAGGACGGGAGTCCGACTTAAGATACCAAAATACATTTAATATTCCCGGATGATGCGAATTTATTATGATATAAAACACACAACCCAAGATTTAAAGAAATCTATACAATTTCAATTTCAAAGGTGCGGTACATCTTAAAATATTAATTACAAAATTGTATATAATTGGTTCTACAACTGTAAATTTATTATGTTCCAACGAAGAAAATGAAGGTAAAATTGTTTTTATATATTTTTTCGTTATTTTTTGATAGTACAAATATCAAGGATTACTCGTTTAATTATCATACACAACACGAAAAATTCATGGCAAAATTCAAGAACAAACAAGAGGTGGAAATAATTGAAAGTCGAACAAGCAAGAGCAAAAAAAATTTCAAGCGGAATTAATAAAAATCATCGAGACGAGAATAATCGTAATGTTACATGCGATGAAACAAATAAAAGGTCAGACATCTTTTGACAGAAATTCAACAGGAAATAAAAGAGAATGCTCTAATGCAGTGTTGCCAATTGGACTACTGCGCCACTGGACTTAAGGACCAATATGGTCCAGTCCGGTATTTGATTTTAACAAGGAACCAAAGACAAATTAATCAAACTATTAAAGGAATATGAATTAAAAGTTAAATTGGCAATAAAACAGAAAGAAACATATATTAAACTGAGGTTGTAAATGAGAACATAAACAAAAAAAAGAGCGTAAAGATATGAAAGAATTGAAAATTTGTTGCGTATGCTAATAACCTGGATTTTACTTTTTTATCCATGTATTTAAACATAAGGTTAAATGATTTTTGATTATAAAATTTAACTTTATAACTTATATAATGAAACATATATTAATTTCTTTTATAATTAAAACAGCGTTTGCAGCTTAAGTCTCTCGCAGATAGGAGTCATTTTTTTGAATCTACAGTTAGTATAAATTACTAAAAGAAATATGAACATGCATATACTTGAAAGTTTATATACTTGAAAGTTTCCATTTTTTATGTTTTACGATATAATTTGTTACATAATATAATTATCTAAAATGCCTTAATATTTCTCTTCGAAGTTATGATCATTTGAAGGTGAACTTTATTCATTAAATATATTTCTAATATTTCTAATAGCAAATTTCCTAATAACTTTTGAGTATTCAAAGAAAATATGGCAAAAAAGTAATACAACTCTTACTCTAATCAAAACTCCATATCCACAGCATTCTGTAGTAATTCATCCAATTCCATCATCCAAAACACACCTCCTTGCACCATCGACCTACGATACCACTTTATAGCTTCATGCAAATCACGATTAAACCCCACGCCGTATCGATAAAACCTCGCCAAATTATACTGCGAAACAGCAATTCCGCCCCGCGCACTCTTCAGAAACCAATAAAACCCCCGATTCTTACAAATTTCCGTGCCAATCCCATCTGAGTAGCAATACGCCAAATTACACTGACCCGTTGTGTTTCCAAGTTGCGCTGATTTCATGTACCAGTTGAATGCTTCTTCCGGATCGTACTCAACGTAAATTCCCTTTTGGTGGCACCAACCGAGTTGGTTCATCCCAAATAAGTCGCCATTGTCAGCTGCTAACTTGTAATAATTGTACATTTGGTAACTGTCGCGCTTGGTGCCAACGCCATATTGGTATAAAAGTGCGAGCATGCATGCGTATTTTGGTGTGCTGCTGACGGCGGTGTGAAGTGTGTCAAATAATTCAGGATCGGAAATTCTATGTGTGGATTGGTGCACGCGGATGCATTGTAGTAGGTGTTGGTCTTCTGCACCTGGGTCTATGACTGAAATAAATTTCTTGTATAGCTGTTCAAGTAGATTGAGTCTTTTCTTTTCATTATCATCGCTGTGTTCCTCATGATTATTTTGAATATCGGTATCATTTATATTGAGGTCTTTTATGGACACTATCGTTAACCGTATTTTTTATCGAAAATAATTATTTAAAATATAGATACTGAAACCCACATTTTATATTTTAATTGGTATCACGACATTTCTACATGTATTTGTATTTTTATTTGTCAAACTTGATTTAACCAATTATGGGAAGTTAATCGCTGGGGTTTTACCCGTCATGATTATCACAACGATAATAAAAAACAACAAGTATTCATAAAAAATTTTTGCTTGCTTTCAAAAATTTGGAAAAATATTCGTTATCGACGCGAAAACTTCAGTTCGAGGAACTCCCAATCGAATCTGTTCCCTAACCAATTTTAACGCTTTATGATAATCCCTGGATCCCAATTTACCTTTCGCATAAAATTGCGCCAAACTAAGCAGTGAGATACCGTTCTCTGCGGATTTTCTGTACCAATAAAAGGCCTTCACTAGATTTTTCGACAGGTCATCTTGATAATAGTAATCACCAATAATTAATGGTGCTTCCCAGTGTCCATTACGCGCAGCCGCAAAGCAAGTAGATATGTCATTAGATCCGACACTAAGAAGATGGTACTGAGCGGCTGCATTTCCTTTTTCCGCTAATTTAGAAAGCAAATCATTCGCTAAATCTGGATCAAATGTCGTGCCGTACCCCCACATATGGCATTTAGCAATCTCAATGGTTCCAATGTCACATCCTTCATCCGACAGCTCCTGAAAAATTTCCGCAGCTTTCACCGTATCCCTACTGATTTGTAACCCATCTTTATGAAACATTCCGATTTTATATTTCCCAAGCTGCGTTGACATTCCACCACCGGATTTTTGATCCGCAGCAAATTTGTACCAGTAAAATGCCGTCGCTAGATTTCTACCAATTCCGATCCCATGTTCACAGAAATATCCCAGCAGAAATGCATATCCCGTACGGAGTCTCTTTTGGCGAGCGAGTTCGTAAATGCCGACTGGTGTTTCGTTTTTGGCTGTTATCCATTTTTTTATGCGATAGGCGATCACTTTGTCTATTGAGCATAAGTATATTATTTTTGAATAGTACGTCAAGAGGTCATGTAAGATGGTTTCTTCTTTTGACAGTGTTAGCGTTTGCTCTGTTGTGGTATTCGACATCTATGTTTGAGTAAAAAACAGTCAAAAGCAATAATGAACTATTCGATTGTTCATTTATAAATAAATAAATACAACATGTAAAGGAGCTTTTCAGGTAATGATTTACCACATGTACATGTATTTTCCGCAGCTTGAGCATTTGCAACACCACATTAATATGTCAGATGAGACTGCACCAACATTCCAATATTAACGAATCGATGTATAAATCTGCAAAAGTAACATATTTTGATGCTGATATTCATAGAAGAAAGACATTTGGCATGGGCAACAAAATTGATACGCAAAACTTTTGTAAAACAGTTTTACCAACATAACTTTTCCTTTTCATGCATATGTTTGATGATCGATCGGCCCATGGAAATTGAGGTTGTACATACATGTGTATGTGGTATGGAAATTTCATGTATCGTTTTGGTTTCGAAAAAATTCGATTTTCAGCGGCCCTTTCCTCGTAATGGGGCGGTGTTATTGAGATTTGTAAGCAGAATGCTTAAGTTGATTTAACCATTTAGATAAGATAATGTGTTAATCGATAATGAAAAAATGTCGATTTTTACAGTAATCATCAGCATTTAAGGAGTGAACGGCACAAAAGGTTGTTATACAATATAAATAGATTATAAATAAATCAACTTTTTTCACAATCATGTATATCGATATAAAATAATCCCTGAATTTCTTTTTCTTATTCTCTCTAGTACTGAATAACTAGTATGAATATATATAACGGTGCCTCTAACAAAATGTGAATAAAATGATACGTAATATGTTTTAAGTCGTCCACAGAAATTAAATTTATTTTGAAATATTTCAGGCCCTTCACTGGAATGGTGAGCAATGAGAATACTGCAGCACCGCCGCCACTATCGTCCAGACCACGACACACATGCGAACAATGTGTAAACCTTAGTCACCAATTAAAGATCAAGGACACCGAAATTCGAGCAAGAGACACTCAAATAAGTTACCTACAAGGCCAACTGCTCGACGTCAAAGACAAACTTCTGGCCAAAGATTCACAAATGGAAGACACTTTTGTAAAGTTGAATCAGAAACAAGAAGAGCTCTTACAACTACACGCGAAATTCACACAGGTTCTCTTGGACAAAGATTCACATATTCAATACTTGCATCAGAAAGTGGGTAAAAAACAAGAGGATCTGTTGGAGAAAGAATCCACGATCAATAATTTGTTGGAAAAGTTGAATCTTCGACAAGAGGAACTCGCAGAAAAAGATACAAAGATTCAGGAAATACACGAGAAGTTGATTCATATGAGTGGGCACGCAGGAACTATGAAAACGGGAAAAAATGAGAATAATAAGTTGGAACGTTCGTGGAGACAAGAATCAGCTGATAATGAAGGTGAATTTAATATTTTTGGGAATTCGAAAAATAATTTTTTTATTCTAATTTGGTATGTTGTATAGGTGCCAGAAAAAAACCGAATAAAAACATGGAAGTTTCTTGGAGGGCGAATGGATCAGCTCGTTAAGCGAATAAAGATGATGTTGTGTGTTTTTTTATTCACTTTGTTGATTCAATTTATTTTAATTCAAATATAGGATCTCTTGAAACCGCCGTGCTAGACAAAATACTTGTCTCGGAGCTAGAGCCATCAATGAATCAAGATGAAATCGCCCGCGCTTTCAATAATCAATTTAAAGGAGCAAAAGTTTCTGTAGAAGTTCCACAAGGAAAGGTATAAATATCATCTCTAAAATTTATCAATTTACTATAATGTTTTACTATTAACACTGTCCTTTTATGTATAAAATAGAGCAATGGCATCATCACCGTAGAATCGGAAGAAAAATTGCAAGAAGCACTAACTCGTGGAATTTTACGGGTGCATGGAAAACCATTAGAGTTAAAACGATATCTGCCTAGTTCATAAATGCGTGACGTATTGTATGTACGCCTCGTCCCAATTATCCTTTATCGTTAGGATAAATCAGCTTTTTTATGTATTAAAGGTCTCGCGTGAACTGGCACTTTTTTTTACAATAGAATCTTCGTTCAAATTTGCAATTGTTTTCAATACCTCTAACAACAATTAAAATAGTACATATCGATTTAGATACTCTTAATACGTATTAGCTACTATATAAGTTTGAATTTGAATCAAATTTTTAGATCTCGCAGTGAATTATCGCTCATATAAAAAATTAATTTTAAAAATGTTGCTCCTCTCAGACTGCTCAATATTTTTTAATAATTGGGGAAATTAATGTACATGTATGAAGAAGCAGCTCATATTTCTAATTTTGGATCTAATAAAATTTTTTGGCGCACTTCCCTGAGTCTAGAGGTGTGAAATTGAAAATCATACACGAAAATTACAAACGTTTATAGTTTTTGCATATTTTCATTTGAAATATAAATGACGAACGGCCATTTGGTGAGTGCGGTCATGATAGAAAATATCGTATTATACATTTTGTTCTTCAACCTACAGTATATCTCTCCATTTTTTTTTCTTCGAGTTTAGGGTTAGGGTTTATGTTTGTGATTCAATGTTTATTTACATATAATTAGACCTGATGCATTGTAAACATGCCTTGTCTTTGAATAAGGCATTATTTTGTTGCCAAAAGTTTTCTCAAGGTTAAGGCAGTCATATAAATCTAGATGCACATTTACATTATGTTTAAATTTGGTCTAAGCGATTACGATAGATAAGTAATGGCAGAATCATCTAGCAAACTGGAACACCACATGAACTTACAGATGAAACAGTATATGCTATTGCGTGTTCATGCGCCAATATTCGGGCATTTCAAATATTGTAATGTCACCGATTCAGTTGTGGAAGAAATAGCAAGATCATGCCATATGCGACCTTAATTTGTAAGATTTGTCTATTACGATTACACGTCTGTTTTTGCATATTACATGTACTGATACAGCTATCAAAGAAATCACCTTTTCATGTTTGAAATGTTGTGCAATTGTCAACAAAAATTGATTATTATTAGATATGCTCGACTCAAATCTTGAGTTATCGTTATAATAATCTCGTTAATTACTAAGCTATAATTATTTCACCAGGGCTAAATCATATATACTTAGAAACTGTTCGCATAGCTCGTAAGATATTTTTGATCAAATATCATAAGAGGCTAAATTCGTAATTTTCAGCAGTTATATTTCAATTAGATACAAACTTGCCTTAATTTTCTGAATCGTCATATCTATTTCTACCGGTCATCCAAAAAAGCATATGTGAGATCGCATAGTCTTCAGAGAAATGTCGAACAGTATATGGGCTGAGTGCAATAGAAATGGCGTGGAATTTCCTAATATAATTGACACCGTTTATATTGGGACTCAACCCAAATAATTAAATATTATCAGTTTAGAATAAATTGATCTATCTATTGAATATTAAATAATTTCACATGTACATGAAATGATGTTTATATAAAAGTAATATGAAAGATGAAGCAATAGTGAAAAAAGTCTTAACAAATTTTCAATAATATCTTACAAATCAAATTAAAAATATATTGATAGATACTGACCAATTTCTTATTACATGTATAATATACATATATAATGCTTTTTGTGTTAATCTATTAAGATACTTTCTCTAGAAATGCAATATTTTTGTTTGATTAACTCAAAATTCTATAACTTTGCATATAATTGATATTTTTAAGAATAATACAAAGATATTAAAGATGTTTCTATTTTGTTTTACTATAAATTAGAATATCATTAAGATATTTATAAAATAGTCTGATTAATGAATTATAAAATGGAATTATAAATAAAATAAACTTAAATAAAAAGGAGGCTTAGAAAGATAATTTACAGAAAAGTTGATATATTATGAATTTTATTCTGGAAATATAGCTAATTCAAATAAATATAGAAAAATTTATTCAAGAAAATTGTAAAATATTTTTTTTCTATAAATTTAGAAATGTTAATTAAAAAGAATATGCTAATATAGTAAATATTATAGTAACTAAACCATTTAATAAATAGAGTTACGATTATTATCTTGTATATGATATTTATAAAATATAATTTATAAAAATATTGAATATTATTTTTGCTTTATACAAATTTATTATTAAGAATATTAAAATTCTATTCTATAAATAATTCATTAATGAAAAAGTATTTTATTAATAAAATCAAAAATTAATATATATTTTCAAATATAGTTTTATACCAATTAAATATTTATCTTTAAATTAATATGAAATTTTAAATTAATTTAAAATATTAAATATAATATATTTTAAAAAATTAATTTAGAAAAATATCTTAAAAATTTTATATATATTTTTTATATAAAAATTATATTTTTCTTTATTATTATAAAAAATTTTTTAAAAATAATTTTAATAAGTTATTTTATATATTACTTTTAAATAAGTTTATTTATTAGATTATTAATAATTTATAATAAAATTTTGATAAAAATTTAATATTTTTCATTCTATTCTATAATAAACTTATTTAAAATAATATATAAATAACTTCTTAAAATTATTTTTAAATTATTTTTTGTAAAATATTTTAGAATAAATTTGAAAAAATAAATTTAAAAATTTTTGAAATTAAATTCAAGTTTTTAAGAAATATTATTAAGATTTTTATTAAATTATATTATTTTTATATTCTTAATTATAAAAAATATATATATATAATTTTTATTATAATCTAATATAAAAATATAGAAATATAAAAAAATTTATTAAAAAATTTTAATTATAATTTTAATTATAAAAATATAATTATATAATATTTAAAAATATATTTAATATATAATTTTTAATTATTTTATTTAAAATATATAAAAACTTTTAAATTTTATTTTCAATTTATAATAATTTTATATAATAAAATCAAAATTAATTTCTAAATCAGTTTAAAAATATTATTTAAATATCTGTAATAATTTTGATTGAATTATCTTTCTTTTAGATTCTTTTAATTTAGATTTTTATTTTGCATTATCTGTATTACAAATTAACTTTGTATTACATTTTTAAGAAAATCAATTTCATACTGGATATACAGATGATTATTATATATTTAATATATTAGATTAAATATATTATTATACAAATAATTACTATATGTACTTATATTATTAATTTAGATAATTAATATTTTATTTAGATTTCTTTATAATAATTTTTTTCTCTATTTACTTATTCTTATTTATTATTATTTATATTATTATTTATCATATTATTAATTATTTGATTATAATTAATTACTCTTTAGAAACACAAATTAAGTTAATTAATTCTATTCAATTTATATATATTTTAAAATAGATTTTATTATTAATTTATTTACTTTTGTATTCATTTCTTTTGTTATAAATAAGACCTCTTTGTTCTATACTTTATCTCAGATCTGAATACTTTTAAATAATAAAAATAATTATAAAGTTATAAAATTAAAATTATAAGATTATTTTGTCAATGATTATAAATAAAATAAAATATAATATGAATAGTTTTAATTTTATAACTTTATAATTATTTTTATTATTTAAAAGTATTTAGATCTAAAAGAAAATTATAAAATAGATAAATCTTATTTATAATAAAAAAAATAAATATAAAAAATGAATAATTTAATAATAATTTCTATTTTTAAAATATATATAGTTTAACAAATTAATTAACTTAATTTATATCTCTAAAGGACAATTAATTATAATCTAATAAATAATAATGTAATAAATAATTATAAATAATAATATAAATAAATAATAAGAAAAATAAATAAAATTATAAAGAAAATATTAATAATAAATATAGTTAAAAATATTAATAATCTAAATTAATAATTATAATATACATAATAATTATCTGTATGAAAATATGCTAAATTTAATTTATTAAATACATAATGATTATCTATATATCCAGTATAAAATTAATTTTTTAAAAATATAATATAAAATTAATCTATAATACAGATAATACAAAATAAAAATCTAAACTAAAAGGATTTAAAAGAAAAATAATTTAATTAAAATTATTATATATCTCTCTTTGTAACAAAATTAGATTAGTTATTAATAATTATATTATATTTATCTTTTATTTCGCAAATTATTGCTGCATCATATATTACGCTATATATAACTTAATATGTCACAATTACCTGATTATGCCAAGAAAAGTCATCTGATTTATTTGAGTTATTTTAGCTATAAATAGTTTCTTAGTAGAATTTCTCTTTTCTCTTATTTTACTAATTTAGCTAGCATATTACTAAATTTATATATTTCAT